AACTGATTTTCGGTTCTGGGTTTGGTTTGCCACTCTGCCGAAAGCTATACAATAATATCTACATACAAATCGGTTAATTCTCAACGTCTCCATTGTCGAGGACACTGAATGAATTTTACTTCTAACTTACTGCATTTTTCATTCCACAAATTCCGCACGTAAGTTGTAAGAACAAAACTTTGGTCGGTAACAGAAGAAAGGTCAAGAGTATTCTATAGGCCTCCGGTAGAGATTTATCTACTCATTATCTTGGTGGTACTACCGACTTTGTCGGTTTATCGCCTTCTCAATAAATCAGCGGTAGGTGACGAATTTATAATCTGGATTCCGAGGAGACTAGACAATGTCGTCAGGATTCTTACAAGGGAATCCTGTTTAGTCGAAGTGGCCTTTTTAAATGAGATATATCATATTGGAGGTCATAAAACGCCGGTTCTAAACCTGCCTTCCTTATCCGCAGAACGTTTATGGATGAGGAGTTACGAGCGTTTTTAAAGTCAAAAATTGAATGTGCGTTTTGGATGAAATGATTCGCTAAAATCTTACTAGTCCTCAAATAATGCAATCAAGTAGAGCACTTTTCTGAATAAAGTGCTCTGATAATCATCCCTGCTCCACTGAAGAGCTAGAAAAAGTATTACTACTATTTTTGTCCTACTGCACATTCAGTTTTTCTCTCTAATAAGCGGTCATATCTCCGTCTATGAACGTTCTGCAGTTAGAGAAGGCAGAATTGGAATCAGCATTTTATGCCCTTCAATATTCTATACATTCCATGTGAAAAGGCTGCTTCGACTAGACATGCATTCCTTGTTAGTAGCTGACAAAAAAGGTAACATTATTGATAAGAGTAAACAATTCCAGCGTTGAGAATGCACACTCGGAAAATGAAGTCTTTTTGCTAGAAGCAATGACCTATTCGTTATGCAGTTTTGCGAGTTAATGGTAAAACGATGAAAAAAACGCGATGCGCACGAGTCTTCTTCATTGCATCCAGTCATTACCCTATCCAGATCCGAAATTGAATAGTAATTTTCAGGCTACAATCAAGCCAAAGCAAACTCTTCCCTAAATCAGCTCCACCAAGTTTTTAAGAAAAGTCTACAAAATATGTTAGCTATCCCCGTGAAAGCCTTAGCGCTTTTTTATGCACACAATCGATTGCCGTAGCCCGCAGTTTGCTTCCGGGATTGCTTCAGGATACTAGGAAAAGCATACAAAATGAGAGGTGTCTCAAGAAGATTTTACCGGATTATCGAAGTGGCTGTCGAATGTCAACCTTGAAACTGGATAAAGGAAAACTTTCGCTTTTGCTCGATACATGGACAAGTTCCCATGCAATTTGGTGAATTAGAAAGACACAGAGAAGCCAAACGGACACAGAAATCTTTGCTGTTTATACTGTCGCCCACATCGTTGAGAAAAATATTGGTAATGTGGAATTATAGATTTTAATAGAATAGAGAATAGCCTTTCAACAAAAGCTTCTGGATCAATCGAGTAAGATTTTGCAAACATAGGTGTTATGGCCTTCAATCCTGAAAAGGGTTATCAAACTTCCCAAAAGGCTAAGAATAAAACTTTAGTTAACAGAGAATATCCACACTCGAAAGAAAGACGACGAAACAGTGTTTAGGTTTTGTTAATATAAGCACTCAGTAGGAAGAATTAGTATAAGTCCCTTCTCCAAGAAATTCCATCCATAGCCGTGCTGTCATCGAAACTAGACAATTTTCCATGTAGCGTGTACGTTTTGCGTGGCAGCTCTGAAATTCTCATCGAAAATTCTGTTTACATATTCGCGTGTCCAATTTTTATTATGTTTCGAAAGCACTGATAGAGTTTTATTCTCTTCAGTGACTGACGCAATCGAAATTGAATAGCATTGGTGGTATTGCTGGCTAATAAACATGCATTCAATTTCGACATCGTGCCATACAGAAAAGATTGGAACAAACAAAGATAAAGTACTTTAAATAACTCAGTTTTCTTACGGTAATCTTAGTGATTGACGAAAGCTTTTGACCGAAATGGAGAACAGTGGAGATCAAAAATGTTGCTTTACTCCTGAATGCACCCATTTCTTTGATAAAATCGAAGCACGATGTGAAAAACGGTTGGTTCAAACGGATTCCTCGCATTTTATCCAAGATCAGATGCCATTTGTGAAAGCCAACATGAGAACCGAGAAGAAATTATTCCTTTAGAATGTTTCCTAACCTCGGAGTAATGTCAGACTCTGACGTCAATATTATGTAGTTGTATGATTTGTTTCAAAGATGCCTCAACTGAAGGCTTAGCTTAACTCAATTACTTTACCAACTGTTTTGCTTCTTGGCCAATTACTAGTTGATTTGCCATTCGCACTATCACATGTTGCTCTGCATTTTTTCACTTTCTCTGGGAACTTGCTTCTTCTTTTTTCATTTTGTATTATTATTATTTCTGTTTTATTGTTCGCCTTTCTACGCTAAACCTTCTTATCATTTTGATATCATACATTTAAACTTTGTTGTGCCACATATAGTTCATTTACGTCTTCGTTGTACTTTCCAATGAAGATGAGAATAAATCACAGTAAAATGTCGTTGTTTTATATCTGTAAGGAACCGCTTGTCTATGTTGTGAAGTCCAATGAGTGGAAGAAGAAACATATCAGGAAACAAAACCGAATATGTGGTTACTTCTAGCTTCTCATTGCTCAACTTATTCTATCAAATTTATTTTATATTCAGCTCATAGATGATTGAAAAATTGCAGAATACAATTTAGGAAAAAGATGAGAAGGCTTTCCCATTTGTGGAGAAAGCTCTCTCCAAAACACAGTGCATATCCATCCCTAATCCCATACGCGTTTTTCACTTTACAGACTAGTCCCACAAGCTGAGACCTTTCATGGACCGTTCTCACAATCGTGCAAACCTAGGTCCGGTTCCCGATTCGAAGCCGTCTACCGTAAAATGTGGCTACACACCCTATAGATGCCAAGGAAGTGAATGGGATGAAAGCTGGAAGACGAACACAAGAAATGGCTTTGTATAGCTGGAGATGAGAACAGTCAGAGACCTAAGTATTGAAAAACGTTATTGATATATACACTGTAAACCATGAACTAAAAGCACAACATCAAAATGGGATGTGCTGGAGCAAACATGATCAAGGATATCAATTTTTTGGCTTTTTTCCAGTCTAACTTTTCACTAATCGCTGAACACTGCGTTGCAGAACTATTGTATATCCCGGCATAATAAACCTGAATTAGCCAATCTGGCACCTATTCTATGGATATAATGAGCGGTTCCGCTGGGCAATCCGGAAGCTGTTGCTTGATTCCATAAGACCCACAGTTCAAACAAAAATTGCTTTTCTTTCACTCCAAGAAATAGATTATCTAATTAACGCTTTAGGTCTTCTATTTCCATCATTCATTTTATTCGGAAGGTTTTTTTTCCATTTTCCTTGCTTTATAAGTGCTCATGTCAAAAGCATGTGCGAGCAGTTCCTAGAGGCAAGAACAACACGATCAACGTCAACAAAACCTGACTGATGTTGGCTATTTCAATTTTTGAGGAGGTGCAAATCAAAAAGATGAGGTTCAGGTACAACTAGCGCAGTAAAGAGCTATGGAAAATCAAAAAAGACAGAATCCCATGCGAGGTATGAAGGTAGAGGCCTTGTACACCGCTTCCGATTCATCTACCTTTGAAAAACTTCAATGTGAACCATCAGGCAAACTGCAGGCACAACTATTCATGTCTAATATTTCCAACTTTTTTTTGTTCTAAAGAAAGCTGACTAGTACTGAAGTAGGCGGTTTCCCGGTTGAGAATGTCACTGAGTCACTTCCGTAAATGGGCAACATTTATGCCTCCCTATGAGTTCCCTTTACTCATGCTTATTCACTAAAATACCATGTATGGCTCACATCTATGTGAAACAAATAAATTCTCCACAATTCATCTGAAATGTTAGGGGAGAGAATTCGAGTTGATGTGCTGGAAGCGCCATGGAACACAAAGCACAGTAACATGTAAACAACACCGATGTATCGATCAATAATCGATCTCACAGATACGGTATCAGAAGAGATCTAAATACCAAGAACACTCAAGTAGATAAAAATCAAAAGAAATTTGTAGTTGTGAGGGTTTTGAAACGAAATAAATAAGAAAGGGAGATCTAATAACGAGAAACTTATATAAATTGTTTAGGTGGAATTCCCCAAAAGATATGAATTTTTTCTCATAGGGGATATATACTTACTATCTGGAAAGTCGCCAACATTCTTCAGAAACGTTAAAAACCAAGGAAGAAGATTTTCCCCAAAAAGCTTTGTTCCTAGCGATGTTCATGGCTGCGAAGGATGGAGGCGCCACCGAGGAAGCGCGTGTTCCGGGCCTTAGTTTTTTAACTCTCTAAGGCGCGAGCATGTCATAAAAACTTCTGTACTACGGCACTATTGTTCTAAAAAACATGGGGAACATTTCTATGTAGAAATCGTAGAGTTTGAATGATTTTAACCTGAGATTCGCAAGCAGTAATGCGCGCACCCGTGTATTGTGGCGGCACTTTAGGGTGTTGTAACATCTCGCTGGTTAATGAAAGGAATATGAAATGTAGATGATTTCGTAGAAAAAATTCTTGGTTTCAAGGCAATATCAAGATATCTGAGTTTCATTTCTGTATTTCTATGATTTTTCATGCGAAAGTGGCGCCAGTTGAGTGTCACGATCAAAATTGTCAACTTCGCGGCTGCCTAAAAAGCGCCAGGAATGCAAAGCACATGGTTATCGTATGTTATCCTGTAGAGAAAATACTTTTCTATACGATCCCATAAGTTTTTCCTGATTTGCTAGTGAATTTCCCAAGATCCATCCGGTTTTCCCCGAGTAAGTGCACACAGACTGCCGCAATTTAGGTCCGCGGCGCGGTGAACGCGGCTGGGGTCTCGGCGGGGGAACTCGGCGTGGTATATAGTGAGGCCGCGTCGCAATGCCAGCAACTCAACGTTAGTTGGTCATCACCAGTCGTCATGTCTTCATCTGCTCCAACTTCACCCAAAGTCGCCAAGTCGCCCAAGGCCAGAAGCTCGTCCAAAAGTGGTGCCAAGAAGACCGCTTCTCACCCGACTTATTCGGCCATGATCCGCAAGGCTGTTGTTGAACTCAAGGACAAGTCTGGATCATCCAAGTCTGCCATCCTGAAGTACATCCTCCAGAACTACAAACTCGGAGAAAATGTCGCTAAGGTAAGGTTTTCACTTCTTTTTGTACATGTTTTTGTCATCTTTTTGTTAATATTTGAGTTTTTCTTTATATTTGTAAACTTATGCATTTACTTTAGGTCAACGCTCAGCTCCGAACTGCCATCAAGAAGGGCGTAATCAAGGGAGATCTCAAGCAAGTCAAGGGAAGCGGTGCATCTGGAAGCTTCAAGCTCGCTGAGAAGAAAGCTGCTGCTCCTAAAGTCAAGAAGGTTGGTATTAATTTCCTCTAGCTATCTCTTTTTTCATTTCATTGGGATTTCCTTTATTCATGTAGTTTCCATTTTACTCTAATTCCCCTATTTTCAGCCAGTTGCCAAGAAGCCAGCCAGCGGTGCATCCGGTGAGAAGAAAGCCACCACACCCAAGAAGAAGAGATCCAGCAGCAAGAAGCCCAAGGCCGAGAAGAAAGCCAAGAGCCCCAAGAAGGCCAGAAAGCCAAAAGCCAAATCTGCCAAGAAGCCATCAGCAGCCAAGTCTCCCAAGAAGTCCACCATGAAGAAATCCAAAAAGGTCTCGAAGCCCAAGACGGCGAAGAAGGCAACGACTAAGGCGTAATCATTGTGCCTTGTTAAGTGTCCTTAATCTTCCAGAGATCTCATGTACATAGTTCTATTGTTCTACCTCATGTAATAAAAACTTGAAAATAATATTGTGTTAATACATCATGAACTCTAGTTAGTTGAGTAAACAAATTAATTTGTTTTCAAAGAAAGGTCGTCTTTTGAGCTAAACTCTTTTCTCTCCATATAATCGGTATCTCTGAAAGAACTATGAATCAGAATTTCAGTGCAAATCAATATGGTAAGACCACTAACACGGCATTAACTTAAAAAATAAAAAGATTAATGTGAACTTTTAAAGGTATGCGATAGAAGTAAACTTCTATGTTCTAGCCGTGTCTAACATCTCTCAACCAAAGCTATCTCTGTCAAAGACTTTGTCGAGTAGATGTTGTGACAAACGATCCTGTCTTTGTGCTGGCAATTTGTCCATTCAAGACGTGCTCCTTTGGTCTTTTCGTTAATTAATCTGAACGTTTGATCAATTCAAATGTTCTTGATACTGGTAAGGAAAGAGGGCATTGATGCGGCAGAGTAATTCCGGATTTTAGAAGAAGATTATCTAACAAACTCTTGGTTCCATGTAGATTTAATCCTTTCTCAGAATGGGATAGTGTTCAAGAACGCTGTTGCACACATGTTCAACGAAGATCGAAGTATTTTTTCACGTTATTGTTACCTAATTTTAAAGAACGCGGAGTTAAAGTATGAACTTGTTACTCAGAGTCACGCAAAGTGTTCATTGTCGCAATGGATTTTACTCAAGGAAGCAAACATTACACTAGATATGGTTTTTTGGATGTTTTGCATGTTGTGGTATAATTGTGCAAATATCCGAAATCCATTGCTTTTTGAATGGTTGGAACTATCATTGAAATGAGGAAGCAGGAAACGTAGTCGCTTTGCTCATCGAGGTATGTACATAAGCTGTGTTAAAAATCAAGTGATCCGGGCCCAGGCCATTTGCAGAATTTGTTCTGCTCGAAAACTATTTGAGGTTTCTCTTGTATCGAAGACCTTCATCTGCAGTCGGGTTTATGGTACAATATAGAAACTATATGTCTTCAACAGAAAGTACCCTCGATATCATCCCATATGTCTTCCCTCAACATGACGTGGATCACGTGGCTTGATGAGGCGCCGCCTCGCCTCGGGCTTGCGCCACGTTGCGTGCGCATCTTCGGCGTGATGTGGCAACAAGAAGAACGTGGAAAAGTCTGCGCCACGTTGTGTTGAGCGCCACGTCGCGCCAAATGATGCGCTCGCAATGTGGCGCGAGGCCGAGGCGAGACGGCGCCTCATCAAGCCATGTAATCCACGTCATGTTGAGGGAAGACATATGGGTTGATATCGAGGGTACCTAGTCTAGAGAATTGGATGTTATTTATACTTAGATGGTATGATTCTACTCTCTGTCCACTGACGTGTTGTTGTTTTTCTTTTTTGGGCTGCTGACCTTAATAAATGAGTGTCACACCTAATATCTGCATTCTCTATTCAAATGAATCAAAATTTGATGAAAGATTGCAACAAACATAGTAGATAAATTCATTCCAAACGAAAAGTGCATTCAGCTGTAGATAGCATTCATTACAAATGGACATGTTTTGATAATTTCTGTCTACATCCATTCAATGTCCTAGATTTTCATAAGCAAGAAACCCTTTTACAGGGGCTTCGCATTTTGCGGACCAGACGATACTTCGATGAGAGATCGTTGCTCAATACCGCATAATGTCATAAGTAAACGAAAAAGCTGAATATGGTCAAATCTTCTCAGTTCGTTTAATATAGAAACATCCTTAATTATGTATCCACTCCGTTTGCATTATTTTAGGATGTAAGCAGCTCTGAATGTACTGTGATTGTGTAGATATTAAATCAACAGAAACTCAGTAAAGCTCGTAAATTCATGCTTGACGATGAATATCAAATTTCTCACTTTTTTCTACGAAAAAAAATTCTAGTACCTCAGCTAGTGTGCAAAGGGGAAATGTTACTGTGTTATTAACTTTGTACGCAATAAAAAAATCCAACTTTTATACGTATCTGTCACACTGTAGAATTGCGCGGTTTCATTGAAAATACGTTATAGACAATGTTCATGTCAACATGTTCTTCTACCGTGTGTCCCTAAGAGATGTTCCCATAGGAACCATCAACGTGGCTGCCTTTCTGTCACTTTAACATGTCTATTTCGAATAAGCGCCTTAACACGTTTCGGACCGCGAAATCGCGCGCGGCGAAAAAGAGTGTATATTCAGCCGTTAGCCAATAAAGGGAACTTATTCCGTAGGCTGTGGGCTACATCTGTAATCAGCATGTCAGATAAGCTGTATACCTCAAGTTCTATGTGAATTCGAAGCGTTTGAATCTTGTCGCTTGAGAGGGACTTCTATGCATTCTTGAAAGATAGGAACAAGAAACCCGTTTCTAATAGTATTCAAGAGTATCTATGTTGTACACCGTACACATCACTATTGTTACAACCGTTTTCCTCTTTGAAACTAAAGCAAAGAAAAGTCGCGACGTCGCACGCGTCGTTCGCGTTGCCGCACTTCGTTGCAACTGTTGTTCGATTTGTCTTCATATCTTCTAAACAAATATCGGCGGCACAGCTCTACAGAAGTTTCTTGAAAAGTAGAAGCTTAGGCCTTTGACTTGATAATCTTGGATTAAAAGAAAACTTCCTGTAAACCTCAAAAAGATCCTTCAAAGCAGCGTGCTGCACCATGTGCAGCACCGGTCCGAAACGTGTTAAACTGCTGGAGTTAACGTGTTAAAACGAAAGGCAGTCACGTTGATGGTATAGTAAGTTCCAACTTAGTTTAGGCGGATGGACTGGCGGGAATCCGTTTCGCAACGATTCGCGCCGCTTTGCAGTCTGCGTCTCTTCATTTTAATCCATCTCGCTGGGCCAGTGCCGATGCGGACGCGCTGCTCCAGACTGTATCTATGGGAACATTTCTGGCGAACAAACCATATCTTGTAAGCTCTCAGTGATGAAATTAAGAAGATTATCCGTGCATCTTTCTTCGTACCAAATGCGCCCCTTCAACAAGAACACTTTTAGCCGTAGTTGGTTTTCCAAATGTCACAAGGAATTTTATCTTACTGCATTCACGAACACAAGCTGCAGACGTACTGTGGTTTTTATCAGAGTTTTGCAAGTTTATAACAGAAGCGTCTATGATGCTTATCTGCGTTCGTCGATGTCGGAACGCTTTGAAGTGAAATTAACCGATAATCTGCACTTTCCTGTCTTTAGATTACTTGTCTACTAACTGCAGTCACGGACAGGTTCCCAAGGCCTCGATGTAATTGCTCTGTCCTATACGATAAATGTTGTTCCCAGATAGGAGTGCTGATTGGGATGCGAGCAAACTTTTGTACTCTGATCTTGATGACTGATGTATCTTATTAGTTAGACAAGGAATGAGGTGATACAATAGGTTGCTTATTGCTTTTGCAAAAGACGATTGCTAAACAAATTTATTCCCAGATACTCAAGACAAGTTTAATGTAACTGATAGATCTCTTGACATGTACTGATTGAAGTGTTATTTGATTTTTAAATAAAGGGTTTTACCAGACCCAGGCATGCGGACCTGTCAGTAAGTGACGGATAAGTTTTGACCGGGATCATTTTTTAAAACTTGGAGTTTGGTCGGATTGGTTATTGATATGAAGTAATTACTGTTTATGTATTGTAGTTTTACTGTTTATGTATTGTAGTTAGTAGTCCCCAAAAATGGGACATGTACTTGATATTATTTTTTTCAGACAATGACGACAGATGGATAAGCCGCCTGATTTTGTTGAGTAAAGATAATGATCAAAACTATTTTGTATCTACAAGGTTGGACCAAAAATTATACTAATCAACTAGGAAATAGGTAGTCTCATCGATTATCGGAGCAAGAAAGTTCCCATTTCGACTGTTATTAACTTTCTTCCCTTCCTTATCTGATGTGACAGGTTGGCAGTCTAATGAAAATCTTTAATTCTGTTTATACACCAGAAAATTCTATTTGGAGAAAGGAAAAAAATCGAATACCTTTGCATTGTAAAATAGAAAGTATTCTTTCCCTAGCAATCCAAACAATTATGATTTCGCTTGCAGAACCCTCAGTAAAAACGGTGTTTGAATGAACTACACTGTAGCAAAATAAAGACGTCCCTGGGTCAACTTTGGTACAGCGTTTAATTTTGTAGCAAATTGAAGGCATTCCCTATTTGTTTATCATCTCCCTGATCGCCGTACTATAAGTATGAGAGTTCGCTCAGAAACATCTACCATTGAATGAAACTCCGCCCACCGCTGCGCTCCGATCAGTTTGATCGCTGCAGCGATAAGCTATTTTTACACAATCGGCGCGAACGGCGTCAGCTGCGAACACAAAGCGAGCAGCGCGAAATTCAAATATGGTCATGGTAATGGCGCGACGTTTGGTCACCCCGCCCAATGCCACCTAACAGGTGGCCACTTGAGTGATGGTAGGAAATGGGGACGATTTCTTGGGAAGACATAATCTTAGGGGCGGGAATAGCAAAAGATTGTGGTGTATCTTGATATATTGAATAGCCATATCATTGGAAGATATTTGTCTATTTTAGGTATCATGAGCTTCCAGTTCAATACGCAAGCGCACAAACAAGCAAGCATGAAGAATGTAAATAAGATAGATTCCTTTGTCTGCAGAGAAATAAATGATTCGTTACCTACTGATGTGAAGTCAGACCTAAGTTTTTTTCGGAGTGCCCTTCATTCGCGCTCTGGAATTGAGCTGACTCGAGTTTTAAAGAATGGGCAATGCCTTTCAAAAACTTAAGGTAGAAAAACTGTATTTTGAGAAATTCTTAAAAAGTCTGCAATGCCTCAAGCATTGCCCATTTTGAATGACCTTGGGTTGTTCAACCAATCATAGCACCCCTTACTGTAGTAGATCACACACGCTACAGTATACTGTAGTCACCATACGCTACAATAGTCGCAACATTTTCGGTCTTTTTGGTCATTCTCTACTCACACACTTCTCGTTGTTCACTTTAGGGCTCCACACATGTGCATTACGCAACAT